GCAGTTCTTCACCTAGAGAGAGCCCAGGGCACAAGACAAACTAAAATCTGGAGCAAGATATCAGTAAGGTGCTTGGTTTGCCTAGAAAATGATATTTCTTCTTTGAGCATCAGAGTTAACACAAATTCAAAAGGTTTTGTTCATAAAATAGAATGCTTCAATTGAACAGTTCATGCCTGAGTGGCACCTACCTACATGTGAAGACTTGTGTTAGAACATCCCAACCCATTTTGAATTACTGGTGATGAGTTATGGAAAACAAGATCCATGAAACGACCTACTGGAAAGCACCTGTAGAACAGGTGTGTGCTGAATAGTCTTGTAAGGAACGCAGAGGGGCTTCATGTTAGGCTAAAGACACCTTTAAATGCTAAATAATTCTCAAATCTGCTGCCAAATGGCCTCTCATATGAAAACTGCTGAGTACTGAGAGTCTGAGAACACAGTCCAAATCTCTGCTTGATGGAAAGAAATCAAATGTTTCTCAGATGAAATATTCTCTGCTGGGGGTTGTATTTTTGAGAAAATGTAAAATAAAGCCACAACATTTTGGATAACATAGTGGCCTTAACAGTAGAGTTATGTGATGTGAAGTGGGATATTTTTAGTTGGACCATTTTAAATCCACTATCCGACAGTGTTGCAAAGGAGATGTGAGCAGAGAGAAGTTTTACTCCCAGACTTCCTAAGTTATACCGAATGGTAGGAAAACAGCCCTGTGGACATTTATATGTGACTTGCTAACCAGTTTTCAGTCCCTGAAGAATTTTGTGGGTTTCTTTTTTTTCCTACCATATCTTTCTTACAATAAGAATTCCCTATGGAAAGCATAAATTTAGTAGTGACTCTTCAAATCTTAAAAAATAAAAAAAAAACCATTTTAGTGAATGACAAGTTCCAGACACACATGCTTAGCAAGCCAAAGAAAATGAAGATTCCAAAATGTGCTTGGAAATAATAATAGATTGTCATGTGGGTAACACACAGACTAGTATATGCTGTATGTTCTTTATAACTTTATTAAATTAAAAACTAACTCTTGGCTAGGCAGAGAATCCTCTTTTGAACTTAAAACAAATACAGACATGTAGACTCAAAGCTGAAGATTGTACGTGCAGTGTCTGTATGTGTTTTAAAACACACGTTTCAACCTGCCACCAGTAAAATTCCCACAAAGTACATAAACAAGACAGGACTTTATGAGTCATGGGTGTGTCAGTGTCATGGGAGCCCCCGAGAAGGAAGCTAACACTTTTTTTTTTGATTATAAAGATGAACAGAGGAAAAATCTGGGGTGATCTGCAATGGGGAATGTCTTATTATGCTAAACTTCAAAACGTCTAATCGTAAGTCAAAAATTTGACTATATTGAAACTGAAGATTTCTTTCTTTTTTTTTTTTGAGACAGAGTCTCACTGTGTTGCCCGGGCTAGAGTGCCCTGGCGTCATCCTAGCTCACAGCAACCTCCAATTCCTGGGCTCAAGCGATCCTCCTGCCTCAGCCTCCCGAGTAGCTGGGACTACAGGCATGCGCCACCATGCCCTGGCTAATTTTTTCTATATATTTTTAGTAGTCCAGATAATTTCTTTCTATTTTTAGTAGAGACGGGGTCTCGCTCTTGCTCAGGCTGGTCTCGAACTCCTGAGCTCAAATGATCCACCCGCCTCGGCCTCCCAGAGTGCTAGGATTACAGGCGTGAGCCACCGCGCCCGGCCCAGAATAAGCCAATTTTATACCCGTCTTTATTCGAGTTGAAGACGCAGTCACCATCTCAAACACAGGCAGGAAATGTATGTAAAAAAACGGGACAGGTGTAAGAAAAAATTTGATAGTGACTTGGAACGGAGACTTCACTTTGCTCTCGGGGCCACGATAAGGAAAACAGCGGTGAGAGTCTGAGGACGAACGGCCACTCCTGTTGGTCCTGGGGCCGCGGAGACAACAGGGAGGAGTGGGGAGCTGGGGGAAGAGGGAAGGGCAGCCTCTGCTTAAAGGGCTGCGTGTTTTGTTGCCAGATCTTCTCATTTTCAAATGGAGCCATGTGGAAGGTAAAGAAATAGAAATAGATCTGGAGCCGCCAGCTAGCACCCCGACCTCTTACCATCTTGGAACGTGTCGTTAATGGCGACGACAGCCTGGAAGGGCTTGGTCAGTTCGGCCCCTTGTGCTGAGCTGAGGAAAACCACGAACGTCTCCAGCCCTTCGATGACCGGGTACTGAGTGTCGTCCAGAACGGTCAAGGCGCAGTACTGGAAGAGAAACCAGAGCAAACTCCACAGCGGACGCAACACCCGACACCCGTCTGCCTTTGGGAGAACAGGGCAAGGGGGCAGCCTGCCTCGCTGTGGTGTCTTACGGGACGGTTTTGAAAACCCACGAAATGACACTCTCTTTATTACACGCTCCTAGGAGTTTGTCTCTAGACATTTACATCAAGTGGGAGAAGTTTCTATCCTAAATCTGTAATGCTGGGTATTTGATGCCAAGGATGCCACTTGGGGAGTTAATAGAAGGCCCCCTCTGAAGTTTGTTCTCCTGTTTGCAAGTTTATGTGTTTAAAGAAGGAAAAGACGGTGACGTCACGAGGGGAGTTTGGCGTCCTCAAGAGAGCTTGGAAGACAGACCGAAGACGACACTCACAGACCCATCGGCCCCGTGACTTTGTGGTGTTTGACTGCCGTACCTGTTCCGTGACTCCAGGCCCAAATTCCACCTTCCGGGAGCTGGGAACGTAGTCGACTCCTGGAGTGGCAGAAGCTGGGTCCGAGGGCCGCGTCGCACACCAGACGGACGTGAAGGTGGACAGGTCGGTACCGTGGCGGATAACCGGAATCTTCACTGTACCTGCATCACGATCAACAGAGATTTTCACGGTCAACCTTGAGCCAGAAACCAGCGCTGTCCCTCACTGCGGTCGTGACGGCTTTATCCCCCCCGGCTTGTCCAGTGCCACCTCAGTGACTGGGGCGCCCAGGCCCTTCTGAGGAAGCCTGAAAGGTGTCATCACCCTGCTTGGCACTGACACTGAGACCAAGCAGAGACCCACAGGAGGGCTTCCTGGAGGTGGTGACGGAGGGAGCTCTGGGTAAAACATTCTTGTGGCCTCATAGGAGAACAATGCACTTTGGGGGCGGGGGAAGGGTCCACTGGAAAACATCGCAAGCCCATTTAGGGAGAAGAAACGCAGAGACTAGGGCCTCGGGGGTGAGCTAGGAAACAGCCAATTAAGGAGGAACCAGCTAGGGGACTCCACGGGGCCTGGAGCTGAATGTTGCTAATTAAAAGCTCCTAACTGGGTCGACTTCCCTATTTCATCGGAGCACACGTCGCTACTTAAACCACACGTGCTGTTGTTTATCTTAGGGACGAAGCCCGTGTTCTGGTCCACGGCGACACCATGCCTCGCGGTGTCCTGTAGATATCGGGCTATTTCCACAGTCAAGGTCAGAGAAAAGCTCCATGGAAACCTGCCAATCGCCACATTTCATACCCAACATGCTGCAGGCGGCATGCAGTCCTGGCTGGGCATTTGGTGTCTGGGAGAGGAAACACGGCTTAGCAGGACGGTCTGGGGTCTGCTCCAGCTCTGCCATTGTACCAGCTTCTTCCTCTGTGATGATTTAGTTGACCTCTCTAGGCCTCCATTCGCTCTTCTACACAATGTTTTCTTTTCTTTTTCACCCAGCCCCAGACGAAGCTGAATCTTCTACGCAACGCTCTCTCGTCCACAGAAGGTTGAGTGGGAGTACACGGAACACACGCGGTGCCGTGTCTGGCATTCAGGACGTGCTCAAAAACAGCAGCCCCTTTGAAGAGGCGGGAGGCCTTGATCAGGCTCAGGTGAGCAGATGCTCAGCATGTCCGCCGGCGGCGTGCACAGGACGTCCAGACCCCGTGGGGCTGCGAGAGGGGAGGAGACCTGCCCACCGGCCGCTCCGGGCTGTCGTATGAAGGAGAAGGTTCCACCGTGTTAAGATGTCAAAACTCTGCAGTTTGTTTGTTTCGGCAGGTAGCGGTACATTCGATAACTTACCTCCATCCTCAACCAATCACGTATTCCTCCTTCATAAGCCAAAATGCCCTGCGCCAGGCCCTCCCTCTGGACCACACAGGTCAGCCCAGGAAGCTCTAAGCCACTGACAACCGAAGCAAGAACTCGCTATATTTTCCTGCCTGCCACTGTTGGTCCCGGTGCCTGGCGTTATATTAGTTTAACACCTCAGACCAACAACGGTTTCACTCAGTAATGGTTTCTCGACATCTTAAGGATGTTCTCAAACCTAAAGAGGACGTCGTTCAAGAACGGGATCAGGAAGTGGCTGGTGGAGCCCGAGACACTCTCATTACCTGCGTCCTCACTGACCGTGAAGGCCGTGTCGCCCAGGGACACGGTGGAGGCATCGTTGGGGCCGCTAATGAGCACTGTGGCTGTTGCCACCCTTCCGATGCGGGCGTTGTCGGAAGCGTGTGCCAGGGCAATCTCGAACTCCTCTTCCTCTTCGTACTCGCTGTCGTCGATGAGCATGACGTCGCAGGTGGACACGGTGACGCCAGGCCCGAATGTGACACGACTCTCGGCAGACACCCCCCTAGATTTAAAATCAGAGCCTGATTCTAGAGCGTAGAGGCTACTCCCCATCGCCGACTTTGGAACCGTGTAGCAAACCGCAGACACCGTGCTGCTCGTATCTCCTGAAACACAAACGGCAAGAAAAGCCAGGCATTCGAGTGAGCGCTTCTCACATTTAACAGTCCCTGGTAACTTAACGAGCTTGGTTCCCTCTGACATATTCGATCACTATTTCTGTTCAAACTCTGACGTGCAACCTTCCTAAATTGCAATTTCTTTTAAGCCTGGGGTATAAACCACTCGAGGATTTAATACACCCTAGATACTTCAGCAAACAGCCCACAGTGGATTTCCCATCCTGCGAATTTTGTGCTCTGTTAATTCACAAGACTCATCGCCCACCGTCGATGACCGCAGCGGCTGGAGAGATAAGAGACATATTTGGGGCCGGGCGCGGTGGCTCATGCCTGTAATCCTAGCTCTCTGGGAGGCCGAGGCGGGCGGATCATTTGAGCTCAGGAGTTCAAGACCAGCCTGAGCAAGAGCGAGACCCCGTCTCTACTAAAAATAGAAAGAAATTAATTGGAAAACTAGAAATATATAGAAAAAATTAGCCGGGCATGGTGGCGCATGCCTGTAGTCCCAGCCACTCGGGAGGCTGAGGCAGGAGGATCGCTTGAGCCCAGGAGTTTGAGGTTGCTGTGAGCTAGGCTGATGCCACGGCACTCACTCTAGCCCGGGTAAAAGAGTGAGACTCTGTCTCCAAAAAAAAAAAAAGACATATTTGGGACTTTAAGTAGCAAGGTCATTGTGTCCTGAAGGTAGTGCTGCGAGCACAATTCAGCACCTTTCTGAATAAACTTCTGCACTTTAACTCCCAGGGAGAAACACGCTGGTTTGAAAAAAGAAAGACAAAACAAAATAAAATCTGCTTCTCAGTGCAAAGGACTTTACTTATTAGTGTTGGCACTTCCCTCGGTGACAGCCTGTTCTGGGCCTGGCTTGGTGGCCCCGAGCAATCAGCGGGACTTGTTTTGCAAGTGGCATCGCCAGGGGTTGTGCTACCCGCAGTATTCGCTACACTCACGCCCGGCTGGCAGGTTCAGCAAAGAAACCTGACATCATCATTTACAGTCACGTAGCTCTGAATGGAGGTTTCATTTCCACGTGTTTTAAATTTTCTCAATTTTGCACAATTACAAATCCATATGATTTCTGTTTTGAATTTCAACCCCTCACGAATTACCCTTTTATAAACATGTACAATTATCACGTGTCAACTAAAAACAAAACAAAAACAGAATTGCCCTTTGTTTCTTACACACAGTTTATTTTTCATCTAAGCGCTATATATGACTCTCCTGCACAGAAACCTGGGAGCACATTTCTGTCTTCCAAGAATGAAGACGGAAAGCCAGTCCTTACGAGCTGTGACTTCCTTCCTTGACCAAGGTTACTGAATATTTTATGGGTTGGGTGATTGATAAAGAATACTGACTCGTGAATAATTTGCAAGGCTAAATATAACCAGTCTTCTAATCCAGCTTAAGAATACACAGGGGCTCTGACAGCCTGAACTCCGGATAGCACTCACTCTGGGTGGAATCACCGTCAGGGCTGTTTGGGGGATTAAACGAGTCCATACAGGTAAAGTACTCACATACGTGCGTAAATACACACATGAGCAGTTGGCGCATAAAAGGAACTGGATAAACCTTGGCCGTTATTGTAGCTCCTTGTCACCTTTGACACCAACAGACCTTTTCTTTCAACAGGTGCGTACAGAAAACCGGCGCTCTCGTTGACCCTGTAGGTCTTCCTGTCAAACTCTAGGGTGGGCTCGTCCTCGCTGTCACTGATGACGACCTTCGCCTGGGTGAACTCCCCCAGCAGGGCGTACGCTGGCATGCTGAGCTCCACGGTGAAGCTCTCAGGGCCCTCGAACACATCGTCATCGTTGATGACGATGGTGCAGGACTTGGTGTCCTCCCGCTCATCAAACTGCACCTGCCGCGAAGGAAACAGCAAGGAGTTAATCTGTGTCTCAGTTTCCCCCGCTTGTCTCCCTAGAGAAGGGGAAAAGCACCGAGTCCAGCGGGCAGAGCACTCGATTAGCTGACCCTCCCAGCGCCAGCTCCCTCCTCTGCCACCGGAACATTCCCGCTCTTCACCTGTGCGGCGGGGCTGACCACCACACAGGGACGTGGACGGCAAAGACGCCGCCTACCGTTTGGTGACTGCAGGAACACACACAGCGGCTTCGCATGTCCTGTTTTATTAGCTCACTTGGGACGGCAACACTCATCATGTGGTTGCTCAGTGCCCTTTCTCTTTGTGGCACGTTTAACCGGAACGATCTCTGACCTGGAGTGTGAAGTTTTGGCCTCAAGTCTGGCTCTGTGGCTTCCAAGCGGGATTAGGTTATGAAACTTTACAAACATCAGATTCTCATCAGCAAACTAACAGTAATAGCGCTCCCACTTCACGTGCTTACTGGGAGCACTAAAGGAGGTCGTGTGTCATGAAAGCTCTAAGTATATTTTAAAGCACTGAACAAATGTAGGGTATTATCGTTGCCGTCACGGTATTACTTGTACAGTTAAAACTGACACAGACTCTCGGTGTACTGAATAATGGAGCTGAAGTTCACAGAAACTTACATTATAAACAAGCCAGACTAATTTTAACTTGTATTTAACTAAATTCTTTGCCATCAAATGGGCTAGAACTATACTGTGGATGAATTTAGCCTGGAACAAAACAGAGAAATTATTTTATATGCACACAATTGTGAACTTATAGATAAGAATTTATTCTGATTTTATTTTGTCCAAAAAAAAAGAAAAGAAAGAAAGGAAGCAAGCAAGCAAGCAAGCTAAGATAAAACCTTCCAATGAAATCAAGGCTATGGACTAACACCCAACACTGAGAGGACAAGAGACAGCCCTGGACTATACTTTGTGTAAACTGAGACAGCTAAAACGTGCAAAAAAATGGTCATAAATTTCTAGGGACATGCAAATCTAAAAAATACACCATTGTAATCGAATAGAAAATTATTAGCACATATCTAATCAACGAATCACATTAAGTTTTATGTAACAAGCTCCATATTTCAAAACACCCTCAGTGAAAAAAAACACTTAACAAATCTCTACCAAAGATCTAGAACATGCCGACAGCCTTTTGTCTTTCCCTGCAAAACACGAGAACATGCTCCGTCTTATCATTTTGCTAAAAGACTCTTTAGCTTATCTGTTCCTTTCTAATTCCTCATTAACATCTGACGGAAGAGGACTTAGTCTATCCAAAATGCCTCCATTACGGGGCAGGGCCCCCTTCTCTTCAGAGACGTGTGTTGCCGTAAGAACAATTAAATTGCTTTGGAAAAGCGCTGAACACAAACCTATTAAGCGCCGGCGTCACGCCCGACATAAAGACGAGAAATCCTGGCTCCTGCCCTAAAGAAGGTGACTGTCCAAGCCCTCCTTTCTCTTCTGCCCTCAGCTCTCTCCTTTTTCCTCCTCACTGCTGCCCTGACGCCAGCTTCCGCAGGGACGCGGGTGACTCGGAAATGGCTCTGTGGACCTGAGACTGCTCTCCGCACTGCCCATCTGCACGGCTGTCTACGTGTTTCTAAAGCCACGCACGCTCCACACGGCCAGCACGAAGTCCTGAGCACCAAACCTGCTTCTCCCGTGCGTTCCCTTTCTGGCCGGGACATCGCCTCCCGCCTCTCCCTGCGGCCCCGCTGTCTGATCGACCCACGGCCAGGTCCTGCCCGCTCCCACTCATCGGCCGCGTCCATCCACTTCTCTCCGGCTTCCCTTTACAACTGAAGCCCGAGCGCCCGTCATCTCTCACCTCTCAGCCAGTGTGTTCCAAGAGCTTCCCGGACAGAGGGGAGGGGAGAGGAGGGGAGGACACCAAAGGCCGAGTGTGGAACACGGTGTTCAGAGACTCCTTTCGGTCATGAAGCGAAATGTAAAGACTCATGAGCCGGACGACGGCTTAAGCGCTGGCAGTTAAAAGTGCAATGAGGATTAGAGACTGAAGGACAAAGCAGGATGGGAAGGAAGCAGGAAAATTGCTGGAGGACGGTTGCGAACGGAGAGGAAGGTGGGTCGAAATGACGCGGGGAGGTGCGGCCACGTCACAGCCGCTGCCGGAGCCTGCCGAGCTCGGGAACCAGGTGCCCCACTCACCCACCTGGCCGGCGTATTCCACGTAGTCCTGCCGTCCGGGCTGGGAGCCGACCCCGGAGCTGGAGCTGGCGGTGCCCTGCTCGGTGCGGCACAGCACGATGGCGTACTGGTGCAGGTTCCCGGTCCTCTGCACGGTGACGCTGACGGACCCCGCCTTCTCGCTGACATTGTAACTGGAAGCACACAGAAAAAGACAGTCCCTGAAAATCCGCCCCAGGGCTGCGAAGACACCCCTTGTCTGACGCCTGACTCTTGTGTTCGGTGGTCGGCACTCGGCAGTTCAGAGAAGAGCAAGTTTGGCTCCGTTAAGAAGCCAGGCTGTAGGTGCAGGGAACGTGTTTACCTGGGACAGTCAGACCAGCCAAGGCACAGGGACGCTGTGGATGCGGAAAGTGTCTGCCCTGCGGGGGAAGAGGTCAGAGTCTGGGGGGAACAGACAGCACGGAGGAGCTCTGAACTTCAGATTTCCAACATGAAGGAAGGACAGACAAGCTCTCTCCAGCGTGGTGGTGCAGTCAGAACAGGTCAGTGGGTCCTTAGGGAAGACGGCCGCTCAGAAGGCAATTAACGACTCAGCTCGGGGAACTTACCGGGCCAGATCTCTGGCAAGCGTGCACAGGGGCCGGGGCAGTGCCAGGGGTAAGAAAAAGGGCGCTGAGCCCAGGTAACAAATGTGTTTGGACGAATGCAGCTTTATGGAAACCAGGGAGTGACGGGATTAATTTAGCTGAGGCTCAGACTTTTTATCACTTTTGCAAAGTAGACGGCCAATTCTACTTGGGAGGCTGAGGCAGGAGGATCGCTTGGGCCCAGGAGTCTGAGGTTGCTGTGAGCTAGGCTGATGCCACGGC